ATCATAAAATTGTTTATTATTTTGTCATAGAAAAACATAAATGCATCAAAATTTATTATACAAAAATATTCTAGAAAAAGACCACCCAACCTGACATTTGAAACAATGCCTAATACCAAACCCGATCAAACGGTACGCACGTGAGTGAAGATCATATGTAGCTACTAGTATTTGAGAACCAACACGGCTTTTTATTCCTTTTGGTATTTTGATTCCAGTATGTGTAACTCATTTTCAATACAGGAGCTGTTACAGGACCTGGTATCAAGGAGAGCAGTCGAGATGTTTAGAATGTCCATTGGTTCAACAGCAGACAGGAATCGGTAAACAGGAACGCCATCTCCATCTACAAGGAACTTCTCGAAGTTCCATGCAACATCTCGTGTCTTGAATTTGGACCAGAAACATTCGTGTGGGTTAAATTTGGCTTCATCTGGAAGACGACATCGTTCCTGCGGACAAAAATATAAATCAGATCATTGACATATAAAAGAGAATGTTTCTTTTTTTTTTATAAAGGACATTGTCCACTTTATTGAAAATGAAGCTAATCAAGGGACGATGGAGGTGACTGAATGTCGAGAATAATAATATAACCTTACTTTCTTCAATGTTCTTGGCGCAAGTCAGCATGCAAAAATTAAACAAAGAATTACAGCAACAAGGGTATTGCAAGATTAAAGGGAATTTTTAATCATTTGCCAGTAATTGAAGATTCGAGAGCACATAGTTTTTACTCTGTCCCTACCTCTGCCTGTAAATCAGTCTGTTTGTCCGCAAAAACTCAAACCTTGTCAATATCTCTTGAATGGTTGGTACAGGACTTTCAAATTCCATTTGAATTATCGTTATAAGATCCTTCCTTTGGGTAACAATGAAAATAACATTTTGCTCTTGGCCTTAAAGTTCTACCTACTTTTATAGTATTATACTTTACATTTGGTCATAACTTTAGAACGAAATTTTCTTCTTTCCACATCTATACATTGTACATGTATTACATGTCACCAGATCTTCTTATGGGTACCAACACTTTGTCCTCATGATCTTGACGTTTAAGGTTGACCTACATTTGCAAAAACTAACATCGCCTATAACTTGTAAAAAGCTGGTGCTATAGCATTCATATTTCTCTGATGTATTTCTTGTGACAAGAACCTCTTTAGAAAAACGAATATTGTTAATATTTTCTGAATGTTATGTGCTGGGCTTTCATATTTCTAAAATGTATTTTTGCGACAAGGCCTTCCTTTGGTACCAAAAAGATCTTTACCGTGGAGTTTGACTTACAGTTACAAAACTCCAATGGCATTCAAGATGTCTTTTATTGAGCTTGACATGGCACGCAACTATTGATAGTCTTTTATTTGTTATAGTGTGAACAAAACTTATATAACTTCGAAAGTTATGACCAATGGTGTACAATCCTATAATAAAACTATATTTGCTATTATCTGATTCTCGATTCCTAATATATGCTTTTTAAAACTCGGAAGAAAAAATATGGTGTGTTTTTTCTTTATCAGATATAATGTTGCACTGTTAAAAGTAAATAAAGATTACCAATCAAATAAATGCAAAGAAAATTCATGTTTTTCGCCAGCAGTAAGGCACTTGCATTATATATGTGTGTCAAGACAACCATTTAAAGATATATAATGTACACTAAACACGGACGGTGTTATTTCTTTAATTGCAATTCAAACCAACATGAGATGGCCATTATTTTTATCGTTTGGAGTTGTCAGCACTATCTCCATCATTTCCGTCTGCGGTTAACTATTAGAGAGTCTGGTGCTATGTTCATTTCCCAGGGAAATGCAAACAGGAAATTATTTTTACATTTCAATTAAATAAAAATGTTAAAGCTACTGGCATATTTTTTTTGTTACCTTTAAATACGTATAAACTTTTAACTCCTTTTCTCCATTTATATTCCCTTTTCCCATTATATCGAAAGCGGGGGTAAACCCGCTTCCCGGACGAACATATTGCAGGCCATTTAGAAGTTCTGTTTTATTGTCCGCTGGTTCTTGGTGGCCAAACTGGTTACACGGAAATCCTAGGACCTTAAGTTTAGGATTAAAGCTGACATATGCATTCAATTGGTGGTACTGATAGGTAAACCCTGAAATATATGCAGATAGACTTAATTAATGTAATGACCGAGACATTTATATTACTCATTAACCATGTTATAGAAAGGTCGCAAAATTGCGCACTTCGAGTTAGCTGGAGGAATTGTAATTTGAAAACCACACTATCGATCGAACGCCGGCAGAAAATAAAAAAGAGTTTTCGTTAAAAAAGACAATCTTTGGCTATATGAGGAGGATCACTTTGGTTTCATAAACATGACATGATAATTAATTTTCACAAAAACAATCTCAAGTGATTTATTGACGTGAAGCTGTGTGCATCTGCCCTGTGTCAGCTTGCACGTTATAGTTATTAGCGTTCTCTTTCAGTGAAATATATGTTACAAGAAAAGTTGTGAATATATTTTTGCTAACAAGTCAATATATGTAAGAGAGGTATAAATAATTGTCTGGTAGATTGAAATCGGTATTTGTAATCTTCTGGTGATACGTCGATGAATTCATTAAGTTCTCATCTTTACAATCAGTTTATTGACATGTTTGTATTAAGCAGCTGTAGGATATAACGGATATAGGCTTTCTTTTTTATGTTGTCTCAATAAAACGGATTAAGTTTTACACTCTAATAGGCAAAAAAGGAAACGAGCTCCGTAATCTTTTCTTTAAATGACGAATTGGTCAAAATAATTCCGTTGTTTTGCATCAAAGTGTATCCAAAATAGGGTTTTTTTCCACAACAAAATAAAAAGACAAATGATTTCCTTAATTGATATGATCTAATCAAAAACTACATCCATTATATGTGTTGAATTACTAATTACCTCAGAAAGTAGCTAAATTTACCACCAAGGTTACATTCCCTGCAAACTCCTGCAGCGTCCGATTTTCTCCCTCTAGGTCTACAATCTGCAGGTCATAGAAACTCTTATCGTTTGGAAGTCTGTCGCAAACTGTATACCACTTTGCACATTGTGCAGGTAAGAGAACAGTTAGAGATAACAAAGGAAGAAGTAGTGGATTCATTCTTGTCCTAAACCATACTTCATAGACAACATCAACCAGTGCAATGAATATATACTAACATCTGTTGTCATCCGTCATTGTTTGTAATGGGGTTCAACGGAGGCTATTTTCGTCTGTGTATAAAACTGCTAGATCTTTTCTCCTGCATTCTGGCCCCTGGACTGCTGTTTGTTGTTAATCGTTCATTATCTGAAATGTCACATGAAGGCTCCGGCTGCCGGGGGGTTATTTAGTATTTTGTTACACAATTTGTTTATGCAAACTTCGTCATATATACGTGTGTGGCTAAAAAGGCGGGTTTTATTAATACCCGAAATTTCATACGACTTGTTCAACAAATAGAAAAGATCTACCATGATAAGTTTTGTATAAACATTATATCTTCAAATTTAGAAGAGAGTTAAAGTTGTAAAATTTTTCGAATGACTTACTTTTTTTGGAAGTTGAATATTTCTCTATAACAATTTGAAATTTTATTTTGGTTTTATTGATCATAAAACTTTAAACTACACACTAATTAATCATAATATATTTTAGCAGGAAAAAAAGTTTCTCAAAATTGCAGCTCATATTGCTTTAAGGTCATATAGGAAATTCATGGCTCTCACGAAGTGCTCTACAGTCGCGAAGTAAGGAGTCGATCCTTACGTCGCGCGTACGAATCTCACTGTGTGACATAGAGACCGGTCCTTCGGAAGAGACTTATAAATCGAAGTCCCGTGTCGCAGTAGGTGCTGGCAAGAAAAAGATCCCTCATTGCGTATTGCCCCTAAGTGCCGAGTATAGGACAACGTTTGTTGCTTTAAACCGGCAAGTGGTGGCGTCTCCAAATGAAATATAAGGAGATAACGAACAGTATTTAAGCTCAAAAGTCCAAAGAACAATACAAAATATGAGCGAAGAAAAAAAGGACCTCCAAAACATTAGAGTTGGGATCAGATGCCATGGAGGAGTGAGTATCCCCTGCCGAGTGGTCACACCCACAGTGTACTCCTTGTCATGATAAAGAAATAACGGAAAAATCCGTGGTCAATTCAGTGTGTCGTAAATAGAGGACTAATAATTAGTATGAAAACGTCAGTCAGCATTTGACTCAATAATAAATTTTATTTACTGACAAGGTCATTGTATCGACCATAGAAATAACGAAATGATAACTTTAAAAATTTTCGAGAGGGATGTTAACGACATTCAATCTTCTTGAGGAAGACAATGCGTTATATTTGTTTTGAATTATGTATTCTTTTGAATTTTTAAAACTTTATATGACTGATATTATTCCTTTGTGTGAAATAACTATTTTAAATAGCATTATTCATTCTTTAATCCGTTTCTTTGCACGAAGTCTTCTTAATTTCTCAACTCTCAAAATATACGCGTACAAAATCGACCTTTTGTTAGCTTCTTTATGACACTCCAATAAGGATTTTTAAAAAATGCTCCATTGCGGAAAATTGATTATCGATACTAGTACATGTTCTGAATTAGATTCTAGAAATTTTGAAAAAGTGAACCTTTTAACGGTACGTATTTAGATGACAATCTTACTTATAGGCAAATTCACAATAAGAGATTCCCGTCACGAACAGAACTCTAAATCACAATTAATTCATGAATAACACAAACTTTCAGAAATCAGCAATTCTCAAAGATTTATCTTCAGATAGGTAATCTGAATAATCGAATACCAGATTTTGTCACAATGTTAAAAATGGATGCAAAAAAGGTTAAGAATTACATAGAAAACTAATCAAAGTCGCATATTTAAGCCCCAAAGAAAATTTTTGATTTAATATTTTAGGGATTTATTAGTAACGTCAAATATATATTAAGCTATATGATGCTATTAATGTTAGGTAATATGATTTTTTTTATCGTAAAATTGTATACATTTAAGTAGCAACAAGAAAAACATATTTTTTTTTAATGTCCATCAGAAACAATGGTATGTGAAGGTAGCGGTCAGTAATTATGCTCGAAATTCCACCGAAGATTAACAAATCAGGAGCAAAGTAAACACGGATCCCCAAAGCATCAAAGGTGGGCTTAAGCGCCAAGGAGGTGCACATTTAAGCATTCCCCGTGTGTGCTTCTGTAAACAATTCAGTGTAAAAAAAAAATGGAATAATAATTTGTATGTCAGAAAAAATATGTCGGTCGATATACGACTTAAATAAATGAAAGTATTTGTTTGCTGGCAAAGTAATTATTGATTGCTTTATTTACTAAAAGGTGGTTAATATTCTTGTTTCATCAACTTTTTGTCAACACTTGTCTCGATTAAGAAATTATTCGAAACCAGAACATGATCTTGCATCGAATCAAGTGGGGAAACAATATCTCCACATGCAGGTGCTACATAAATGAGGGAAGATGACGAAAAAAAGTTTAAAACATCATGTTTATCATAAAGCTTTGTTGTTAAGTTTACTTACCATTTAGTTTTTCCTACAAAAATATCCAAACGTGAAACAGACTTGTCAGACTCTGTGGTAATACAGTATCTTTTATCCTGAATTCAGAGCACAGGCACTTGTTTTGGAAATAATTTTTGTAACCCATTGTATAATAATTATACAATGGGTTAAAAATTTATTTCCGAAAAAGTGTCCGTGGTTCAGAGGTAAACATCGAATCAAAGTTTTTGAATGAATTCAGCTTCGGTTTATGGATACAGAAATACAAGCATATCTTTAATTCTTTCTCCTTAATATCAGTATACAGAATCAAAATGTTTTGGGTTTTTTTCTTCAAGAAAATAAGTTTTCAGATGATCAGTATCAAGAGAAATACAAAAAACATATTATTTGCAAGCATAACAAAAAAAGCTCCGAAAAACTGATAGTATGACAGAGTAAAAGAACACATGCAAACCCATGTCTATTAAATGGCACAGGCCAACAAATCTTAAATTCAGCTATACTTGAAGTTCAAGAATGTTTCCATTTGAACAAAAGTTAACTCCTGTATTCCTTTCCTTGAAAATAGAAACGAAGACATACTTTGTATTTATAATTTTTTCTATGAAAAAAAATAATGGTTATTTTTAAACAAAGTATTTTCATACGTCCAAATTACTGATAAAACGAATCGAAATGATGTAAGGTCATTTTGTATTACTTGAATATACTGTAGTTAGGTAACAATGATACATTCTACATTGCCGTGTACAGTTTTTGTTATTGTTTTCAAGCCAAAATAATAGTCTTTTTATGACTTTGGAATTGGTCTGTTTACTAAAAAGCTTTCACGAATATTCTCTTTTGTTAAATTACTGTATTCAAATGAACATTACTTTTGTCGTTTTCCGGAACAGAGAATAAACGCCCGAAAAGACAGCTGACTGATAACATTAGTGTTTTGAGTGAACTTTGACGAAAAATGAAAAAGGTAACAATTGAAGTGATCAATCTACAAAAAGATCCATAAAAAAGCATAGTGAACAACTGAACATGGCATAAAAGCGGTGAGATCAGATGCTTAAGAGGGGTAAACATTTCCCAATGACCTGATACTCCTGTTGTAAGCCTTATATGCATTAATCAGGAAGACGAAACATTCAAATTCAGTATAAAAACAAAGACCAAAAAAAATCGGTTTGAAACATGTTTTCCAAAATACGACCCCGTATGGTACAAACCAGGGCCCAAGAACATTTACTGAGAACAGACTTAATTCAAAATTCAAAACTTTGATTTTCCATATCTTGAGTTTTATTCAATGTATTTGCTTTAAAAATTTGCAATTTTGTTTAAAAATCTTATATTTATGATGGAAATTTTTCCTTGGTTATCAAAATTTTTTCACAAGTTACACTGCTTTGAAAATTTGAGATTTAAAAGTCTGTTCTCAGTTTATGGTCTTCGAGTCGGGTCATTTTAACTACCATGGAAATTTCGAAACGCTGACTTTAAGGAGGCTGGGGGGTCAACAAATTAATCACAAATTAACCACAAAATTTATTTTATATTTTAAGATATGGTATCTTAAGCTGTCAACTATCATTTGGCAAAGAAAAAATTCATAAATTTTAGTTTTAAAATTTCATCATTTTTGTATATCTTTATCTGGAGCTCTTCTTTTAAAGGAGATCGAAATAGTCTGAAGATGGCTGCCACCCCCCAGCCTCGTTAAACGAGGCTGTTGAAATCCCTTTAACATCAACGTATCTTTCAGTAGCCTTCCCCAGTTTAAGAATTGAACGTATTCGGAGGATGCTCTCCGATACTGAATAAGTTGGGAGATGTAAGAACCATGGACAAATAAGTAAGTGATAGCGGAATATTACTACAAGAAAGCTGACTACGGAAAAGATTAATCATCTCGTTTATTATACAATTAAATTGTTAGGTGGCCCATGTCATCTACAGTAAGTAAAACATCCCAATTTGCGAGAGATTTGACAGACTCTCTGGTATCTTTTATTTCACGTTCTCTGTGATATACTGAGGTGACATATGAATGGAACTAACTACATATGGTTAATTGATAATGCATTATCGATATATATTTTAATGTTGAGTTGAAGGTCACAGCAAGTATTTTCTTCTTCTAATGTAGAAGTTCTTTTTCATATTGAAATAAAAAAAGGTCGGCTAGTCTAAATGGGCACAATAAATGCCTTTAAAAATTCATACAAACGTTGGAAGACCATGTATCCTAAGACTACATAAATGTTGTAATTGATTAACTATGTATATTTTTAACTTTTATGTAGAATCAGAGCGATTTTTAACAAAGTAATTTCGTTGAAGACCGATCAAAAGATAAGAAAATATCTGACATTGATTGTTTTTAATAAGCAGTTCTCGACGGTATCAAAAAGGTTAATCAATGAAATCTTTCATCAAAATCGCATATTTTTTACATAGAATAGTAGATAAGTGAACCAAAATTAATAATAATTCTTAATCCACAGTTTAAGACAACAAAGAAGCATGCATGTATTCGGAAACTTAGCTGATACTATTTCCATTTCATTCGACGTTCGAACAAAAACACTTTTTGGGGGGAAATGGCTGATTCCAAACGTTTAACAAATTATAGTTTTATCACAAACAGCTTAAAGATGTAAATATTTTTTTTATCTAATAAAATACTTTTTCATTTATAGTGTATACAGAGGATTGTTAACTTTATGCTTATTATTTGGGCTGGTAAATGTCAATAATATCCACAAAGTATCATTACAGACATAAAATAAATGTACCCAATATTATTAGAATGCAGCAGGTCTTTGCATGTCATACTGAATTTTCGAATTGGGATGACCATTAAATTATACGACAGTCATGTTACAGCGTTTGGCAATCAGCAAGCTGACGTAAATTTAAGGTTATAAATGCAATTATACGTTATTTTCTTACTGTCCATTCCCCTACTCAAAAATTTTTATTGAATTTTGTCAACAGATAACAGTAAGGAAGTTTTGGGCTGTCATTTTGTATTTTATATCCGTGAACGGAAATGAGGGACACGTCAGTAACATTTGCCGAAGATGAACTGCAATTTGGAAACAGGATGCTTGTTTTCACACCTTCCAAAGGTAAAATTTCATTTGACATAAAACAACAATTACGGTGATGAATTGTGTGTGGAGAGATGGGGAATGATAGACCTGGCTTAACAATTAATGTTACTTGCGGTAATCAAAGTTGAGAGCTTCTGAAATAGAACAGCATACCTGAAACCCGCGTGTAAAAAGTGCTTCATCATCACCATCGATCAGCTAGCCAATAATGAATATAGAATATTTTTCCTTTTCTTAACAAACGAATTTCCGCAGATAAAATACAATTTCGACAGAAATAAATTCACGTGATGACGTTTAAAACAGTAAATTTAGAATGTGCCAGTAGTATCGCCAGCTAGGAACAGCACACATTAATGAATATTTAAGAAAAAAAAACAGTTCTATACTTCTTTTAGACACAATTCTAAAATTAGGCTGGCCTTCGTTATTCCGAAACTAACTGAGGATTCAATGCGCAAGTCATATTTGTTCAAATTAATGAAAATCAAAGAATGTTTCTGCCTGTTTATCGTAAAGGAACCATTTTCGAGTATATACTTCCAAAAATTAAAGTGAATACTGAAAGGGAGAAAAAAATTGATCGAAACTACAATCAAGAATCGACAGATGTCTCCATTGACTAGCCTGTCTTCTAGAGATTTGTTTCTTAACCCTAGCTCTGTTCACTTGACTTGGTGCACTGAATATGAAATGTTATTTTTTAAATCGATTTTGGTCTTTCATAGTGCTTACATTGCAGATATCTCTAAATCCTCTTAATAGTCCTGACAGAATGTTTAATGATAAATTATATTCGGTTTTAAGGGAAAGAAAATCTCTCTGTTTTCATTTTCCAAAGTACCTCTTTTGAGTGCAAACGATTCTTACACCGAAACACGATAGGTCAATTATGTTGATGTTACTTTTAGGGTTAATCATTAATAGTTTAAATTATCTCTTTTTATGAATTTCTTTTTGCAAATTCTGTTTATCATCTGGGTTATTTAAACTCATTTTCAGTCATTTGTAATGCCATTAGTGTTTTGATTCTGCTCATGATTGATTTTTTTTTGCAGGATTAAATGTTCGATATCTTCACACTTTTCAGTGATTAGCTGTTGAAAATACAAGTTAAGTATATGGTCAACACATCAGAAGACAGGGCACGGATCAGGAATCAGGAAGGTCTTCTTTCTCAAGTGTCCGGGAGGCGTGAATCGTTAGACTATCGAGGTAAAAATTACCATCATATTATAAATTCATGGAGTTCCGACGCATGCTGAATTTTGTACCATCAAAAGGCAGTTTATCTGACAGTAAGAATACAAGGAAATGAACCACTAAAGTGCTTTGATAGAACAAAAGGTTTATTAGAATGATTGACGGTTAAAATGAAATAAAATAAATTGGGTCCAATTATCAATATACTGTATCTTCTTTGAGACGTAGCTAAAATGTTCGTAATTAGTTCTCCATAAATTAGTAACGTTCATTATTGTATTTTTTTTTTTATTCCGCATGCAATTGTTCGGTCTTAATTTAAATATAAAGACAGAATACACTTATTTTCAAATAAATGCTTTGTACTCTCAAAGGAAAATAAATGTTGCTCAATAATGGAGAATTACAGTGTATGAGGTTATCAACCCAATGTTTTGAATATGCTGTCATTAACTGTTTTAACTACAGTAATGTATTTACTTTTGTACATTCCCTGTGTCAATATCTATTATCTAGTATTATTTCAGATGACAATTATTTATATTAAGTGACTATAGTGATTTTTAATTTCAGGATTATTTCTCTTGTCCGAACATCGCAATCATAATACGTGACTAGTACCATTGTACGTGAAAACCAAGGAGATAGTTATGATTATTTTTAACGATATTTTTTATATAACAAGCAAATTCAGAAAATTGTGTTCCCCTGCTTTCTCAGTCCTGTGAAATGATTTATTACGTATTGTAAATGTCTTGTCTCTCAAGGCCTGTCTGTCAATCATGTAAAAACATTATATATTTTGAATACAATACCAGATGAGTGCGGGGAATTGAATTTTACCGCTCCAGACGAAACAATTCCGATTCTACTGACAGTACATTACAAGCTTATAGCAAGAAGAAATAGTTTGTTCGAATTTTCGAAATACCACATACGAGGGTTGATCCAAACGTAATGTCACAACTTCAGTAGAATTGCTATTAGTCGACGTAAATTAACAAAACTATACATGATGAAGACTATATCTATTTCAAATCAGTCCTGAAAAATTCAAATTAAAATAATTTTTACTTTTCAAAATATCGAATTATATACAAAGTGCGACTCTGGTAGTCGCCGCACCTAAGTAACGTCATATGACGGATATACACTGTACTCCGTTATACACTTTAACGCTTCCCCTTAGCTTCATTTAAAAATATTTGAGATTAACAAACAGATTCACATATTTCACTTTCTTTAAGAATTATTAGCACCAATTATACACTCACTCTATCTATAATTTTGTCCTCTATCAAAATTCTTTGAACAGTACCATAAGACAAACTTAAAGTTCTTCGTATCGCTTAAACCGTGACACGTCTCTCTTTTTTGACAACGTCAGACACCATTGAACGCTTTCGCCCGACCTCCTATCTTTCGGTCTCTCTGTCCTTTGCTGATCATTCAATGATCCATGATTCAATGATCCACGCCCAAAATTGCTGAAACCATCGATAAACAAGTCGCTTATCTATATTCTTTCCTCTATGAGTCTGATTTATCATCATATCTTTCTCTACTGGTGATTTCCCGATTTTGAAAGAAAAACGCATTGCGGCTCGTTTCGGCGTTTTATTCCATTTCGACATTTCCTTTGTTCAATATATCAGATGAAACAACGATGTTTATGATCAAAAATAGCAATGAGGTTATTTAATTTTAAAATAAAGACTAGAAAATGTCGAAAACTTTTGTCTTTTTAAATATTGGAAAATTAGACGCTTTTTTTTTTAGATGAATTTGTAAGTGTTTGTCTTTTTTCATTCTAACAATATACACTTTAAAACGTGACGTTTTCTTGTGACGCGGCGACACCCTCTATGATTAATGGTTTAAACGTCTATAAAATTAATTCTCTTAAACATTACTAAATCAAATTTTTAATTTGGATTAGATTTATTCTTATGCACATTTTTGTACATTATATTTGATACTATGACGCCAAATATTAAAGATATCGACACAGTGACATTACTTTTGGATCAACCCTCATATATTGCTTGGAAGCAGATGTAAATATAGGTTTAAATTTCCGTTTTCTTCTTCTCTTTTTTTTTTGGTAGAAGCGCAACATTTTAAAAGCTTTTGTAAAATGTAAAAACGTAAAATGCAACACTTTTACTCTTCATATTTCAGCTATACCATGTTTATTTATTGGCATTTTCTCTGGTTTATCACTACATACTTATGTACCTAAGTTGGCTTCGTCGCCATGCTGTTCTCAGTGGCGAATATGCATTTTTACTGTGAAAATTATCACTTGAGTCTTTCGTCCCAGAAATATATTCACAGCTTATTGTGTTTTCATTAATTCCACGCACATCCACTTCAAAGCTTTTGTTAGCTCTACTGGTCAGAGACCAGAAGAGCTTATGCGACAGTAATGCGTCCGTCATCCGTCCGTCTGTCTGTGAACAATTTTTCAAAATGCTACTCCTCCTACAGTTTCGGTCTGATTTCAATTATAACTTTGCACACAAGTAGACTATACCAAGATACATAATTCTGTTTATCGGTTTTTGTTTTCGATGAACGATGTTGCCTTGGTTACTAAAAATAGAAATTTCCGTGAAATACTTTTGAAATGCTACTCCTCGTACAGATTTGGTCCGATTTCAATTTAACTTGGCACACAAGTAGACTACACTAATATACATAATTCTGTATATCGGTTTTTGATTTCGACGAATGGTGTTGCCTGGTTTAGAATACTAAAAATAAATATTTCTGTGAAATACTTTTAAAATGTTATTCCAAATACAGTTTTGGTCTGATTTTAATATAATTTGGTATGCAAGTAGACTAACTGAGATACATAATCAGTTTTGTGTTTTTGATTTTGATGAACGATGATGCCATGGTAACTAAAATTGAAAATTCTGTAAAATTTTATTCACAGCTACTCATACAGTTGTAGTCTTATCTTAATCTAGCTTCAAAAAGAGACTTAATCAAGGATCATTATTCTATTTATTGCTTTTGGAAAGTTTTATGTCCCAACTGCTACTTTTCTCTTCCTTTATTATGAGTACAAACCAGTAGAGCTACAGTCTCGACAGAGACTTCTGGTTTTTCTTTATAATTTCGTATTCAATGCAATATGTCCATCAAGGCCATTGCGCCTGATCCCACCTCTGATGTTGTAGAGGTCCTTGTTTGATCTTCTCCTGAATATAACCCCCCCCCCCCCAAATATCTCCAATAGTTTGTAGACCACATTTAATAAAAGACTCTATATATAGGCTTTTGCCTCGAAATTGTATATCCCCTTGCTTGAAAAGTGGGAGGGTATATAGTGATCGGGATGCCCGTCCGTCCGTCTGTTACGCTTTGATGTACACATCTCTTATCGCAACTCCTCTTATACCACTGAATGAAATTTAACAAGTAGTGTGGGCACTGAGCTCACTAAATGATACCCAATAGACACTCATAGAATATTTGTTACATGGTGCCATTGTTCACCTCCTGTTTTACCTTTTGATCTGACACATCTGGGTTTCCCATGGCAAAACGTGAATACTACATTCTCTCTATAAAATTGAAGGGTATCCATCTCTTATCCGCAAATCCTTCTATATCACCGAATGAAATTTAATGATACTTTCACAGAATCTTTACATACTGCAATTGTGCACCTCCGATTTGAAGTAATACCATCTTCCCCTGGTGATTTATTAATTTTTAATGATTATTTTATGAATTTCTTTTTCATTTATATCGCGATCAAGCATTACTTTTTGATTTAAGACTTATTTCGGGTCTCC